ATTTGTGGAAGAAGGAAAAGAAGACTTTGTGTGTAGATTAAAGAAGTCTTTGTATGAGGTCAAGCAATCTCCAAGACAATGATATAAATGCTTCGTCTCCTTCATGCTCCGAATTGGCTACAAGAGAGGTGAGTATGATTGTTGTGTTTACTCATGCACATTTGATGATGGACACATGATTATTTTGATATTGTATGTGGATGGCATGTTGATTGCATGTTGAGATTATGTCAAAAATAAATGAACTCAAAGGAATGTTGAGTTTGGAATTTGACATGAAAAATCTTGGTGCCGCCAAGAAGATTCTCAGAATGGAGATTAAAAAAGACCAGGATAATGAGAGATTATATTTATCTCAAAGCAAGTACATTGGAAAGGTTCTTGAAAGATTCAACATGGTCAATTCTAAGCTAGTGTCCACTCCATTAGCTACTCACTTAACTTAAGTATAAAGCAGATACCATTTACAGAAGTTGAAGTTGAAGAAATGGAGAAGATTCCGTATGCAAGTATAGTCGGGTGTTTAATGTACGCAATGTTATGCACAAGGCCAGATCTCGCTCAAGCTTTGAGTGTGGTGTCAAAGTACATGTCAAATCCAGATAAAGATCATTGGCAAGCTGTCAAATGGATTCTCAGATACCTGAAGGGCACTAGAAACAAGGGGATTATGTTTGAAAGATAACATGAAGAGGTGTGCATCACTTGGTTCATCGATTCCGATTACGCAGGAGATTTAGACAAGTGAAGATCCACAATGGGATATGTTTTCACTTCCGGTGGAGGACCCATATCTTAGTGATCCATGCTACAATCCATCAATGTCATGTCTACCACAGAAGCCGAGTACATGGCATTAACGGAAGCTGCAAAGGAAGCCATATGGCTCAAGGGCTTAGCAAGTGATTTGGGTCTAAATCAAAACTTTGTGAAAATTCAATGAGACAGCCAGAGTGCTATTTGTCTTGCAAACAATCAGGTATTTCATGTAAGGACAAAACACATTGAAGTACGCTTTCATCGGATTCATGATTAGCTTATGACAGGAGAGGTCAATGTGAAGAAAGTTCATGCAGACGAGAATGCAACAAATTTTCTCACTAAACCAGTTACGACAGAGAAGTTCAAGCGTTGCTTGAGTCTGCTAAATCTGACGACATGTTAGCTCATGAGTGCACCTAGTCACCAGAGGTGCAGGGAGATGAGTTGATGCTCATCAAGGTGAAGCAACTGAAGCCAGCGCATGACTTGCTCTAAAGTTCCAGAGTCTAACTTTTTAGATTCCAAAGATCCATGTTTAGGAGACAAGAGTTCATGATTCAAATAAAGATTGACATTATAGAAACTCATATTCCAAAGACTAATGCTCCGAAGATGCAACTGACAATTTTGAGTGGCATCGGATATCTCGCCAAGTTAGAGATTGTTGGAGTTAGCTCAATTTCTAACTCAATTATTCTTGTAATTTTCTACATGCAGATATAATTTTGCATGGTCTTTTTGGGCATGATGCAGTCATTATTTACCTCAGAACTCTACATGAAAGTTGTAGAGGTACATGCATAGTTTACTTCAAGGTTTGAATCATAGGAATCAGAGCAATATTGATAGAGTTATGGTCAGTCAAAGTATCCTATCCGAATCTGAATAGATTTGTGTATTCCCAAGCATCTTGGAAGATGAAAAGGTGGACTAGAAGGTTCATCAAGGCATATAAATTAGCATGCTCTCATTGTGGAGGTGTAATCCAAGTTTTCCACTTGTTCTCTTGAAAGTATAGAGAGTTAGAGTGAAGGAGAGTCTCATATGTTGTAGAGATATCTAGTGTTGAGTTAATGTAGAAGGAGGGTGTGTGAGAGCTATGTGGAAGTCGACGTTATCGGGCATGCCATGTGTGTCTTGTACCCATTTGTTGATTCTATTATAGTGAACTATCCTCCAAGCTCCGAGCTCAACCCGTGGTTTTTCCCGTTTGGGTTTTCCACGTAAATCGTTGGGTCAATTTTTTGTGTGATTATCTTTTATCTTTTTATCTTTTTGTCATTAAGAACAAGACTCTAAAGTGGTGTTGAGAAGTTTTGCGGTTCGTCAACACCAACAATATCTAGGTGTTGGCTAATAGATACGTAAACATGCTATTTCTAAGTTTCGTCTCTGGACAACATCTCATGTTTTCTATTTCCAACAAGCTATCTTCTTCCATTCGATTGTATAATTATAGATTATATTTAATTTTTTCAAATTTTTATACTAATAGTTATACTAATAGACACAAAGGTCTCCTTAGTCACTAAAAAGGTTGTCTGTGTTTAGTACTACGAGGTTCATTATAATTTCGAGGATATATGAAAAATAATAGAGAAATTTTATTTCAATTTGGAGCATAAAAATAAGGATAAATTTTATTAAAAACCCTCGAATCTCTAGATTACTCCCCACGATCTTCTTAAACTTTGTTTCCCCCACTAAGCGACTTCAACATTTCACACGAATTACTTCAATTTTAACTTTGTCAATCCTTGATCATAATCTCCATGCAAAGAGTTAGTTATATTTTCTCTCAAATTGAATTGTTTCCTCTTGAATTGAAAACTAATTTGAAATTTCATAATTTTATAATAGTAGAGTTAAGATTTATTGGACACATGTGATTTGATTTTTTTAAATAAGAGAAAAAATGATCTGAGAGAAGAAGAAAAAAAGATGTTTCATGGAGAAAGTTTGGGGGTTTAAAGATCTTCTGGTATAATCTTCCAAAGTTTTTTTTGGGGGGTGGGGTGAGGTTTAATAAATTCATCTTTGTGAAAATTTAGGTTCCGTTCGGGTACCGCTGCGTTTCTTTTGTTTCTATTTTTTCCAGAAAACCAAACGAAATATGTTTGGTAACTGGGTTTTTTTGGACTACAACTTACCAAACCCAAAACAAAACACATTTTTCAAAACACCTAAAAGGTGTTTAATATTGAGTGTTTTCATTTCGCATCCTCTTTCCACAACTAAGCCCCAAAGAACCTATATTGTACCTAGCCTAGCACCACCTTCAACTAGCTATTGCTGCTAGGGGTCACCGATGCAAGTTCTCTAGTGGAGTCACCAACACGAGATCGCCGTTGTGAAATTGCTGCAGTTTAGAGCTCTATCGAAAGGTATTCTCTTTTCTCTCCTCACAACCTAAGCTCCCTCCTTCTCTCTCTCTCTCTCTCTCTCTCTCTCTCATTCCTCTTGTTTTCCCTTCTCCTAAAATTGCTATAGTTTATGCGTGCTGTGATTGATTTGGTTTTTGCCCTAACCGACGTGTCTTATGTTAGATCTTAATTAAACTCTAATTCATGCCAGTTTTATTTTACCTTATTTTTTATATTTTCTTTAATTTGTCCTAAAACTTAACGATTTTTGCTGTTAAAAACGATTGTTAAGCTCTATTTTCTCCTCCTTTCTATAATTTCCTCTTATTTATTATTTTCTAGGTGAATGAAGCAAGTAGTTGTTCATAGATTGAAGATGACAATACCTGGATAAGAAGCAATAGACTATAATTATTCTTTTTTAATGAAAAATCGTGCAACAAGTAGCTTGAATAGATGTGGACATTACAATCAAATACGAAGATGCTTTATGGTTTTAATTACGAGTATTGGTGAAACATATTTTTTGCAAGAGGAATTAAGTATAAGAATCTATCAATTCATATTGTTTCTTTGCCTTTTCTTGGGAACAGGGAAAAAAGTGCTATTACTGATAGCCATGGCGGTGTTAGAAGCAGTATCAGCGGGATACCATTGGTCGTGGTAGGGGTGAAGCAATTACTTGTTGGTGGGTTTATAGAGTATGTTTAGAAAAGGGCTAACTAGTGCTTTCAAAATCTTAAAATGGTGTTTTTAAAACTCTTTGGAGGGAAACACAACATCATAATATTTTTTTATAAAAACAAAACAAGAAAAACATCCTGTTATCTAAACAAGAGAGGCACTACAGGCACATTCTAAGGCACACCACCAACTACACACACACACTCTCTCTACACTACAGGGGGCCCCACATGTGATTTTTTTAAAAAATCACATGTGGGACTCCCCTGCACTGTAGAGAGAGGGAGTGTGATTGGTGGTGTGCCTTAGGGGCTGTTTGGTTGCACCCTTTTTGAGAAAACTTTTCTCAAAACATCTGACAGTGGTAAATTTGTAATTAAAAGTTTTCCAGAGATTTCTATAAATTGTGTTTGGTTCAACAAAAAATTTACAGAAATATTTTCTATAAAATATCAAAACCTACCAAATTTTACAAAAAACAATTTCCTCTCAAAAAGAGAGGAAATCACCAGAAATATGACACATACCATATATAATTAAAAACCTACCAAATCTTGTTATTTTCTATAAAGTTATGAGCTATTTTCTTGTTTTGAACCAAACAAGCAAAATACAAAAAACAAGAAAATTGGTACTTTTTGATTGGTACTTTTTAATTTCTCAAAACTTTTCCTATAATTTTTTTAAGAAATACAAGGAAATCATATTTTAGGTGGAAAACATTTCCTATAATTTCTAGAAATTGAACCAAACACCCCATTAGAGTGTGCCTCTATCATTTCTTTCTAAACAAACATTATAAAATAAATTAAAAATAACTCTCATATTGAGAGCGATTAATTTTACAAAATCAGCGGTAAATGGTAAAACCCAAGTTTCTGTGCTGACAGTGGATCCCAATTAGATGCGGCGGTCTCAGCTGACACGTCATACCGTACCCGCATCCCAAATTCAAATTCAATGCAATTTATACAACTACGGCGTCCGCTTCAAAAATTTTGGGACTCAAATTTCAAATTTCTCCAGTTAAGTTCCCAAAAACACCGTACACCAATTCACTCCTTCCACTTTGCTCCACCTGGACTTCAAACACCGGTTCATCGAGAGCACGAATCATAAAGCCCTTGCTGCCGCTTTCCTACTTAAAGCGAAATTGGGGGAGAGCAGGATTTAAACACTCGAATCGAAGCGCACAGCAAACAATTTCGACTCATTTTCTTTTTTTTTTCTTTTCATTTCGCACCCCTCTTTTCCCCCTTTCCCTCTCTCTTTCTCTCTCTAGAGAGTCCATAAAAACTTTCGAAGCGCTCTCTCTCTCTATCTCTCCAAGGAGGAGAAACCCTTCGCCTTTCTATTTCAGTGGCTTAGGGTTTCGATTCCTCATCGATTCCAGCTCTAATTGCGTTCTCGGTGAGCATTTTCGCGATTTTCCCTGGAAAAGTTGTTGTTTTAGTATGATTGGAGCTAAGATAACATTCTAGGGTTTGTTATCATTACTCTTGTTACGTTTGCGTTTTGTTATTCTAATCAGCTCTTTTTCCTCTTTTCAATTTGCAATCTAGGGTTAGCGATTTCTGATGTGAGCAGGAGCTTGAAGAATTATATTTGTAGTAAAATTGGGGGTTTACGAACTTTCGTTCACTAAACAATGCCAACAAGGAAAAAGATCGTTACGAGAAATGGTGCTCAGGAACTCGCCAGTCCTAAATTATGTAGACAGCAGAAGAAGTTGACTTTAATTACTGAAAAGAAAGTGAAAGAGCTGATCACGTCTGCGAGAAAACAGAAATCTGGTAAATGCTTTAACTCCACTGTTTGACCACCGACTTTGATTTTTCCACAGAGAATTTATAATGTAGCATAATATGCCAATTTGATGGCAATTTATGAAGGAAAAACAATGTCGCCTGACCATTTTGTTCTGAAAAAATTGATATTGGTATTATTGGAATTGTTGGCAAGTTAAATTAATTATAATTGGTTGTTATTTCCCACTTATAATGTGTGTTAATTCCTTCCAATTGGAGAAGAATATTAATACTCTATGTATTTGTTTATATCTTTTATTTTGTGTATGGCATTAGTCTTCTTGTTCATAATGATATAACTAAATCTTGTTTCAACTTGCAGTTGGACTACGTTTGACCAAAGTTATAGATGCAGAAGAAACAAGGGACCTGAATACCACCTTTAGATTAGCACAAGACGAGGTGGTCTATGGTACTTCACATGATGAGGAGGTGATCAGTCTAAATTTGTTTTGTGTTGTCCCCTTCTAGTGAATTTTTTTATGCTCATAGTGTTAGTCTTGCGCACATTATGTTAGTTTTCTTGCTGGAGGTCCTAGAGTGTTCTCTATTTTTCCTTCAATCAACATGATACGTTTGACATATGGTTTAACTTATGTGCTAAAGAAGATGGACATTACTCAATGTGAGTATTTTAAAGACCAGAGGTTGCAATAAAGTACATCTAGGTATCAACCAACCTTAACCATCTAGTGGAGACACCAATTTTTCAAAAAGTAGGACAAGGTGATGCAATGATATGAGAACATGGTATTAGAATATGTGTTAGTAATTAGTATAAAAGCAATGATATGAGAACATGGTATTAGAATATGTATTAGTATAAAATAATCATAGTAATAAAGGAGCTTTTGTACATGCATACATACGCATGTTCATGCATTCAAGAGCCTAAATTATTATTTCTAACAATGTAAAACATATAATGATGACTACATGCATGGCAAATTTTTTAATACATTTTTACGACTTAGCTATTCAATTGCGTATAAAATGCTGGACATTTTCTAAACTTAGTTTTATACAATTCAACATTTGATAGCATTCTCTACTATAGTTTTTGGCGTATAACTGAAAATAAATAGATATCTCAAGCATGTAATATAGGTAGAAAAAAAGTGTGTTGTGTAGAATAATGTCCAAGAAGTGTATGATGGTGTTTTAAATTAAACTTGTATTACATAATTGAGTATTGGGGACACATTTGAATAAGTGATTAAGTGTATGCACATATCAGAGGACAGAGGTGTTGAAGGAAGTGTCAATGACCAGTATGGCATCAGAGTGTCGGGTATGGGTACAACTTAATGATAGAAGTAGCCATGCTACAGAGATTGGGATTGTAGATGATATTTTTTCGGTGGGAAGCTAAACTATAATTATAGAACAACGCCATTGTTTCAAATTGAACTGCTGATGCTGACGTGGCACAGTGCGTACTTAATGACTCAATGGTCCTCGATTATCTGTATCATGAAATCATTTTGTGTTACATAATTAGTTCACTAAACAAAATATGATTTATCCACAATTATAAAAAGAAGGCATATCCTATGAAAACATCCACATTAAACTGAATTTTGAAACTATATGATTTGTGTATCCACTTGAGTTTATATTCTTCGGTACTGTCAGATTTAAACTCTTAACACCATTGTTTTAAATATCGGCCGATAATCGATATTATCGGCCGAGTTATCGGATTCGTGAGCTCTCCGTTAGGATAAATTGGTTTTGTAATTGGTTACCGTTTTGGAGAGTTTATCGACGAGTTATCGGCGTTATCGGCACTTATCGGCCGATAAGTAATGCTTAAATTATCGAGATTATCGACCGGGCATTTTGAGTTGGATTGTTGAGTTTTAAACCCGACCCGACCCGTTTTGTTAATAAAATGAAACTTAAAACCCGAAACTTCGTGAATCCGACCTTCAAACCCTAAACTTCGTCTCTGGCGGCTGCTTCTTTTCTCATAGGGTTCTTCCTCTTCCTCCGTTATCTCCATCTCATGTTCTATGCGCCTCTTCATCGCTCGCCTTCGTGAACTTCAAACCTTAAACTTCGTCGCTCACCTATCCTCTGTCAACCTCATCGCTCACCTCGCCTTTCGTCTTCGTGAACCTCGTCGCTCGTCTTACCTTCGTGAATCTCCGTGAACTTCGCTCGCCTCGCCTTCGAACTCTAGCGGGATTTACTTGAACAGATATCATTTCTTCCCGCCTTCGAACTGTTTCTGTTTTTTAAGTTGATTTTTGTTATTCTTTGAACAAATATTATCTACTTGTGAGACTTGTGAAAAATCTTCGTGAATTATCTCCAGCGGGATTTACTTGAATTTTGTTTTTTGTTGAGTTTTTAACTTCTGTTTTTAATCTTTTCTATAAGAATATCTGTGAAGTTTTAGGATTTCCCCATAAGTTAAAAAGATTTGTCTGGAAACATGGCTATATATACACATGCTGTGAGCTTTCCTTCTCTTGTAATTCCTTCACGGTTCACGCACACACTTAGATTTCAAGTCAGTGACCTGAAAGAAGAAATTGTTAAATAATTTATATTTTTGTATGTTTATATTTCATTAAGCATCGTTAGATTACATTTTTAGTTATTATATTATATATATACACCATCTAATATATCACTCCGATAAATACTACTTATCCCTGATATATCCCCGATTTTCACTATCCGATAAGAATTTTACTCGTCCGATAAATCCCTGATAACCGATATTTAAAACCTTGCTTAACACATCCTGATACTTAAAAAAGTTTAGTATATGTCAATTAGTATACACATCCGCCAAGTATAGGCATTTTGGTATTCCTTAACAATATTCAGTAAGAAACTAATGAGCAATGCACAAAGAAAAGGTATTGCAAGAGAGCTGATGATACCTTCAGGACCATTATGGTGCATTATGCCATGAGAAATACATCTTGCGGTTGAAGCCTTTTCTGCTCATTAGATACAGTTCAGGGACTTCATTAAAGTTGCTTTGTATTTTAGGAACAAAGTTAAAAAGGATAAGGTGTGAAAATAATCTATGTTAAATGTCTGGTGTCAGTGCTTGATTTGAACAATTGATCCGAGTGAAAACTTGTTAATGAAGCTGATTTCCTAACCATTATGTCATATGTGGGATTCTAAGTGTGCGTTTGGATTTGGACAGTCTGAAATTGGATTGAGAATGTTGGTCCAAGGTTTTGGACGGTCCAACATCCAACATCCCACGTTGATGCTTATCTCTTAATTGAATATAGTTTTTGAAGGTGTAGCCTCCTTACATATTTAAAGCAGAAGAAACCGACCATTTATACATGATGATACAACTGGCAATAATATTTTTTTTCATTAGTGTTACTGGTTTGATGCATGGATTTATGCGGTTTCTTGTTTCAACAAATCTACTTGACACCTCTATAGCTCAAAATCTGTGCTCTCCCTTTATCTTATATAAATATTTTGTATATTGCATTTGCATCTGTTGCTCACCAGAGCTTGCTGGTTCTTTTGGAAATGGCTGACTGAGTGCTGCCTTATAACTTCTTGTTGTTGCAGAGATCAAAAGAAAGACCTTCAGATTGTGTGCCGGACACCATATTTTCTCCCACTTATCATCATCCGAAAGACCATCTTAAGGATGATTGCGGGGTTGCGAATGATAAAGGTAATACAGTGCAGTTCGTAAGTGTGATAGATTTAAAATTAAAAATTTAAACTCAAAATCATTTATTACTCTCATGAATACTTCTATATTAAAAAACAACTTTTTCTATCACATTTGGTAGTTCCTAATAATTAGTTTCTTTGCTTCATCCTGAACTAAGGGAACTTATTGGCTATGAAGCACGGACACGCATAACATGAAGCCGTGTCGTGTCGTGTCCGTGTCGGAAATTATTTTGGAGGCTGTAACAAATAAGCTAATTTTTTTCCTCAAAGCATTCTGCATTCTCCTGTATATCGATTGATTTATATTCGAGGGATATGTTTCTTGAGTTTTCCTTCCTGTACTCTTCTTCTTCATCTATTTTTTTTATCTCAAAGCTTTCTGTTGATTGAGTTAGGCTCCAAACTCCATTATCTGGATCAGAAGATTCAGAACTAAAGAGCAGTTCAGCCAATAATTTCATGTATTCGCTTTGATCTCTCTTTGATATCTAGTTGCTTCGAATCAAGAAACTACTACCTCTCATTGCTAGCTTTCCCTTCCCGCTTGGTCACTCTTGAATTTGTTTCTTCTGAACCTCAATCTTTCTTTTCATTTTTTTTCCTTGTATTTATTCCCCCTGTCACTGTCTTACTTCTTCATGCCTCATCATAGTTGTGTGATTCTCTGAACCCCCTCGAACTGTTGTTGTACAGTCATATGAACTGATTTGCGGTATATTTGTGAACTGATTTCCTCCAATACTCAAATTGGTCCCCAAAATTGGCATACCACTTACAAGTATGTTGGGGCGCAAAGTCCATTGAAGTGCACACGCACAAGATGCAATGCAATGTGTGCAATCAAGTCGAGGAAGGCACACAATACAATATATGAGCCAATGACTTTACTGCAACTAAATACATATGTTAATAAAACGTAAAATGAAACCACGATTCCAATACGATCTATGTGAAAAAAAAACTCCATAAAAAAGAAGTATTTAAGTAATATGAAAAAGTATTGAAACACATAATTAGTTTTTTAGTTTCTGGTTTTCTACTATTTACTTTGGAAGATTTAAAGCAAAAAAAAAAAACAATGTACCACTAACCGAACTTACATACTGAAGCAAGCTATCCTCCATTGAATCCAATATTTCCAAGTGGCGCGTTCCCCAATTCATACTGTGACCCGCTACATACCGCATATTGTGTAACTATGTGCCTCATTATCATTGTTTGTCAGGATTCTCCTCCAAAGTGTTCTCCGTTAGTTAGCTGTATGGTGAAGGTTTTCTTTTCACCGCTGCTTATTCTGAACAATTAAACTGGTAAAGTGGTTGCCCAATATCTCAATGTTTAGTTTTTCCTGGTTGAAATAATATTATTGTGATGCACTATTCGGATTTTAGCTATAGTCAGTTATGTGCTGACGTTTATCAAAGTAATTTGTGCTGTGTTCCATGTGAAAAGAAGGTGGTTAGCTAGTTGAGGGACGAGGTATGAGAAATATGTAAAATCATACTACATAAATTTGCAATAACCTTTTGGTGAAGTGATTAATACCTGCATAATTAAATTATGTTACATGAGGCTCATAGATCTTAGTAACTTGAGTAAATAACTGTATCCAATTTGCTTGTACGTGCTGACTGGGGGGTGAAAATGGAGCTGACAGGGAATGAATACCCTGATATCTGAATCTCAACACATAAGTTTTATTCACTAATCACTATCCTGTTCTCCCTTTGAACAGACACAGACACATGCTATCAATGGAATCAATGCTTGAACCTATGGAATACGGATATTACCCGAATTTGAATAACATCTGAAATTCTGAATCAGCTAGAAAATCCATATAGTATAAAAGAGATATCACAAGAAATGCTGTATAAACTCATCAAACCTGAAACTTACAATATCAAATTCAAAAGTTTTACTGTTAGTTTATAAATTAAGAAACACATATGTTACATAATCTATAGTAATAATAAAATACATAAATATTGCAAATTAATTATATGCGGAAAACGAGTAGTTGCACATGCATCTACTCCGCTTTTATTCAGATATCAAATTGGATGTCAAACGGTGCAAGTACTAATCAAAACTGTCCATGTTCGCTTGAAAGAATGCAGATATGTGAAACTAAATATTTTGATATCCATTTGCAACCTTATTGTTAAGCAATATCCTGATGTTAGAAATGATCATTAATGGAAAAAAAAGGATAGTAGAAATTAAGCACTTAGAGTTGATTAAATTATGCTTCATTAACCTTCAATAGTGTTTATTATTTAGTTTGGTTTAACATTTTAGAAAGTTTGTACTCCAGTTAGGTTAAATCTAGATTTCTCCACTTGACATCTGTTTGGATGCTGTAGTAAATCTTCCTTTCTTTTTCTTGTGTGCAGTAGATTTCATGAAGTTCTTTAAGCCTGATAGCTATTCAGATCAGTATATTCATGCGTCTGAGGAATCAAAACCTGATGTCTTAAATAGTCAGGATGTATTGGAAAACCAGCCTGACTATATGGAGACAGAGACAGAAGTTACTGTTACTTGTAAATTTGATAGGAATGCTGATTCAACAAGTAGGCAATCTGAGAGGTCCGATGCACAAGAAAATGATGCTAGAGTTACTTGTACTGAATCAAAACAGACAAACAAATCTTATGATGACAAATACCGTGTTATGGGGAACCTATCATCTGAGGTCTCAGCTATATATCTAGCAATGCAGCACTCTAAATTGGAGTGCGTTGATGAACAGAGTCAAGATTCAATTTCATCTGAAGGTTGCGTGGAGCAAGATGACAGTGATGACTTTGACGATTTTGATCCATATACATTTATTAAGGACTTGCCTGATTTATCAGCAGTTGTTCCAAAATTCCGGCCTGTGCTCCTTCCAAAGCAAACACGGAGTTGTCCTTTAACTACCCTTGTTCTGGATTTAGATGGTACGGTGCATTAAATCTTCCAGTGGTAATTGCAATAGTTAATAATATGATTTTTATTTATTTATTTATTTATTTTTTGCATTGCTATGTTATATCCAGTAGTCTCTATGATAGTAACCTGATACCCAATATTCTATGACCAAGCTTTCCCTTCTGATGTTCAGTTTTGTCACTTATATCTCTATAGTTAATCTTTTGCAAGTTGCAATGCAATTTGTCCCCTTCCCCTCATGTTCTTTTGGAAAGCAGGGAAAGGATGATAATTATATTCAATTCATAACTGATACTATCATATGTTTCTCCTTGTTGATCTAAGGAAAAATTAGTCTAAGGAGTGCTGCAGTATAAATATGTTGTACAGGACACTAGCTAAGATTCTTGACCATTTCAGCGGTATAGTTCGTCACTATTACCTGCCACATGGCTATGATTTGAATTTAATTTCCTAATGACACTTTTGTTGAAATAAGAGTTTGTGATAAATAAAAAAATTCCCCTGGGTATAGATATTTTGGAAAAAGAACCAATGTTTGCCAGCTTGAGTGTTTCGGAGATTATTTAGTTGGCGACATCCTTTATATTTCCTTTTATTGTACAAGAATTAGTCTAAGGAGTGCCGCAGTATGAATATGTTGTATAGTTATATCCAGTATTCTCTATGATGGTAACCTGATACCCAATATTCTATGACAAAGCTTTGCCTTCTGATGTTCAGTTTTATCACTTATATGTCTATAGTTAATCTTTTGCAAGTTACAATGCAATTTGTGCCCTTTCCCCTCATGTTCTTTTGGAAATCAGGGAAAGGACGATAATTATATTCAATTTGTAACTGATATTATCATATGTTTCTTGTTGTTGATCTAAGGAAAAATTAGTCTTAAGGAGTGTTGTGGTATAAATATGTTGTATAGGACAGAAGCTAGGATTCTTGACCATTTCAGTGGTATAGTTTTCGTCACTATTACCTGCCACATGGCTATGATTTGAATTTAATTTCCTAATGACAGTTTTGTTGAAACAAGAGTTTGTGATGAATAAAAAAAATCATCCACTGATTATATATATTTTGGAAGAGAACCAATGTTTGTCAGCTTGAGTGTTTCGGGGATTATTTAGTTGGCGACATCCTTTATATTTCCTTTTATTGTACAAGAATATTGCTGTCTTATCCTTTTGGATTATTGCTAGTTAGTTCTATGAGTAAATCTCATTATAATCAGATCATTTTATCTTTTCTCGTTTTTACTTGTTCTTTTTTCCTTTCTTGTTGGATTTTCCCTTTTCTTTTTGCTTGCTAGTATTGTTGTTAATATGATACTGCTGATATTTTTGTTCATTTCATGTATATGTATTTTTGTGTATGTGTAGACATTGGTAATGATCCATAAACAAATATAACATATGATGATTATGTCTTTACGATACATCCATACAGACAAATGTTCAATTAGTCAAAATTGCGTTCTTATGAAAATACATGTTCTACCATTATATTAATGATTGAAACCGTTCATTGTGATCTATATACATTCTAAAGTTCATGAAGATAAAAAATTTACACATACACAAAAATTTACAAGTATGTATGTATGGATATATCATAAAGATATAATCCTCATATGTTATATAACCGTACCGTATATGCATGCATGCTTGTATATATGTGTTTTCGTTTTTCCTTCAATATGTTCTGATTATATGTATATAAATTTGCTAATTTTTTGTGTTCAATGTTGCAGAGACTTTAGTGCATTCCTCCCTTGAACCATGTGATGCAGATTTCACATTTCCAGTTAATTTTAATTTCCGAGAGCATACAATCTATGTGCGATGTCGTCCGTATCTTAAGGACTTCATGGAGAGGGTTGCTGGCGTGTTTGAAATCATCATATTTACTGCCAGTCAAAGTATATATGCTGAGCAATTACTCAACATTCTTGATCCTAAAAGGAGAGTATTTCGCCACCGTGTTTATCGAGAGGCTTGTGTCTTTGTGGATGGTAATTACTTGAAGGATTTATCGGTTCTTGGTCGGGATTTATCACGTGTGATCATCGTTGACAACTCCCCACAGGTAATATTTAATTGCTTATCCAAGCTTTAGGACGTTAGGTGTCTGTTTCGTCGGCTATGCAGTAATTAGTTTTTGTTATGAATCTTACTCAATTTATTTGAAATTTTTTGTATGCTCAATCTTTTTTGAGTCCATTGGTCTTCCCTGTAGTATGATTCAAGAATAGAGAAATTGATTCTGCTTTATTCTCTACTGTTGAAGACATTGGCTTATCCTGATATTAACTAGAAAGAAAGGAGTAGCCAGCAAAGTTCTGCAGACTAAATTAGTCAAGAAAAATGTTGCCATGACTTGGAAATAGTTGGTGAATAATGGTTGAAGGTGATCAGTTTTCTAATGGGAATTGGGGTCTTGGGAAGACCTAGCAAGCCAGCAAACATTAATCTTTTTGCCATTTAACCCGTGCTTGTGCATAAATAATACAATAAGGGTTTGCAGTTGGTAACTTATTTAGTATAGAGTGTAATGGGCAGTGAAGTTCCTTAACTGTAATGAGACGCTTTCTTATGCTCAACACTGAGCACGATCCGAACCCGGAACATACAAGCCACATTAGAGTTTATAAGTAACTGCAATAAATAGAATTTGATGGGTTGGTTCATTGGCTTTAATCTGAACCTGGAGTTGAATATACTTTCCCTTGGAAGTGCATCATCTTTCTTGAAAGTTTTCTTAATCTAGAAGAGTTGTGGAATCTTATACTATTTGCCGAACTTCCTTCAAACAGACTATGCAGAGCCTCTCTTTCCATGAAATCCTTGGCAGAGAAAGCTGGCATTAATGAGAGGATTTATATCACAGTTTGATGCAGCTATAAGTTTCATAATCTATCATGAATTTGGGCTCTCTTTCTCCCTGTATAAAAGATTCCTGCTTTTTATAATAGATTGATGAGTGAAAAGGTTCCTGCTTTTCATAATAGATGGTATTTACTGATTTTATCTTAAAAGGCTAACATTTTTAGCACTCACAATTGCGAATCACCTGTTAATTGATTGTGAAGCACAAATGTACTGTATTGCAGGATGGTTAAAATAAGATATTGCAATAAAAATAACGTGAGATTTCATTGGCGCGCTCTACTGAATTGTGTGCATTGTTTGTTGTATTTTGCAGGCATTTGGATTCCAATTAGAAAATGGTATTCCAATTGAAAGCTGGTTTGATGACCGCAACGATCAAGAATTGCTCTTATTACTTCCATTCTTAGAAAGTTTGGTTGGTGTTGACGATGTCCGGCCAATAATAGCCAAGAAGTTTAACCTCCGTGAAAAGGTGGTGGCTTCTTCAGGTCTCTCTCTTGACTTTGGCAGGTGAACGTTTTATGTGGGCAGATTTCGTTTGGATTGCTGTTACCTGTTGGGGATGGCCAAAGAAATTATGCTGGTAGCATCCCCTGGCTTATACTTGTACCTGATGTTAATACTCTTTGTTGTAGCTTGTTGCTTGTATCATGATGTGGGATTGTGGTTGCTTATGGTTCAATTGAAACTTATCTCGAGCATATTTTGAAAATTTGAGAGTATGATTATAGAAGTCAGCATCATCTAAAGCTTTCACTTGTTTGGGCTTGTTGCTCTTTTCTTATTTATTTGATTCGCTTGTCCCAGCAAGCGTTGCCTTTCGGCTTAACCAATAATCTTGGTCACGTTTTGACATCTGCTTTCCTTTCAGCAGGTAATGTAGAATCAGTCAGGTTTAAGCCCCAGTAAGTTTGATCATTCATTGTTTCTACCTGCTTGAGGATGAGAATCTAAGGTATTTTAGACGAACAAATTTTCACTGTAGACCCAAAAAAAAATTTTATTACCAAAATCGACCGAATTTTTTTAATTACCAAAATTGACCCGTTTTATGCCACGTAGGCTTAATCCAGTTTTCTAATTAGTTGGGGTTGTTAACCCCGACTGTTTAGGAGTTGTTAAATCGGGTTTTAAGGTTTCTAATCGGGGTTTAACAACTCCTAAACAGTCGGGGTTGGCAACCCCGACTAATTAGGAAACTGGATTAAGCCTACGTGGCATAAAACGGGTCGATTTTGGTAATTAAAAAAAATCGGTTGATTTTGATAATTAAAATTCCGTTTGGGTCTACAGTGAAAATTTGTTCTATTTTAGACAGCAATTGGCTGGCCGCTCCAACAAGTTTGTGGACATTAACCCAGAAAAGTACCCTTCTCCAGCATTTTAGAAGCTTAAACTAAGTAAAACTCAACTCTTCTTGTTTTTCTTTTGAATTTTATTTTTGCTAGAGGACATTTGCATCTCTTGAAGTGCTTGAATTATCAGGCAAACCAATTGTTTGTAACAAAATCTTGTCAATATGCCCTAGTTATGCCCTTGTTATGAACGGTAGAATTGGTTTTACAATACTTCACAGAATTATATATATATCACAAGCCTATTATAAATGATACCCTGACTTTTGATAACAGAAATCATTTTTAACGATTAAAATCACTGAATAATTCCCTCAGTGCTTGAGCTCATCCCAAGGTAGTCATACAACTTTTTTCACTGTGGTTGGCAGTTATTTTCAGATTGAGGGGGCAAAAGTTGAAAGAGGAGATTCCACAGTTCAAGAAACTTCTGAGTCTCTTACATACGTTATTTTTGCTTGCCCCACAAATAACATCATAGATTCATAGTGAGGTCGGCCTGAAAAAAGAGAAGAAACAAAAAGAACATCGCAAAGAAAAGGAAGACAAGGAGCTATCCTCCCGAATATCTCTGAAATCACCAAATATTCCACAATAATCTCAACATTAAATAATTTAATTTAATTCCTCTCCCTCGTAATACAAGTGCACAAATAAATAAGCATGGAACTTTTAGTTCCACAAATAAAGCAAAATACGAATAGGAGAACAAAATTTGTCAAAGCTATATCTACAGATAGATGGGCAGACGTTCTACCTGCTACACTTGGCTTTGGCCAGCTTCTTTCTTCGTTTCTTCTCAGCCTTCGGGGTTTTGGTTTTCCTCGCTTCCCTCTTCTCCTCTTTCACTTTTTTCTTATGCTCCTTTCGAGCAGCTCTTTTTTCATCTGGATCCAACTTTTTCTCACTTTCATAACCTGATTCATCTTCTCCAGATTCACTGCCTGAAACATCGTCATCATCTGCTGAATTCTCAGGTGTGTCTTGTACAGAACACTTTCTCTGTAGATCCTGCACAGGTTCTTGAGGCTCCCGGAGTTTTGTTGCCTCCAGTTTCTTCTGTTGTTGACCGATCTTATTTCTAGTTTCTATGAAGTCCATTAGAGGTTTGTCATAAATTTCTTTTGATGTGTCCTTGTATCCCACCAAAGGACGTTGATGCATTGCCATCTGCGTAAGCTCCTCCTCACAATTCTTTACACGATCTACTGTCTGAATTAACGGACAGCAAATGCAGCAATTAGGAACCAGCAATATATGTGAAATATGATCATTTAAGAAATTAATATTTAATGTTTTGATTAAAAGTTGACACAACAAAATGCCAAAAAAGAAACTAAGCAAGCTACAAAACAAACTGCGAGATTATTCAGCCACAGTGGGTTGTGAGACTGCACTCATAAAAATGAATAGAGGAGAGAGCTAGCAAACAGCATCTCCCTGCAACTGAAACTCTGATTTGGAACCAGTTGCGTTGGGAGGCATATTCCTTGCCGCATATGACTATTGAACATGTTTCCCAAATAGGAATTTCTAAATGACATGTTTAAAAATGGAAAAGATTTTCTTTTCCCAAAAAAAGCTAGGCAGGTAGGAGGACGCGTATTGAATATTGAGGGTTGGTTCCATCATGAACTGTTTCAAGACTACACTAAATGCTTTCAAGTGAATGGTACAGTTTAAACAAAGGCAAAATCAGTATGTCAGGATCTGATTACATAAAACGTGTGAAGTCCCTATGGCAAGACAAGTATGGCACAAAATCTCACAGAAATTGGGGAAGATATTTCCTTCTTTCTGCTTACTTCAGCCTCTTCTAGGGATTAATCAGGGAACTGGACAACTAGACAAACCTATCAAAGCAATGGTATGGATTGGACATGGATCAAGTTCACAAAACTAGATATAATTCTAAAGTCTGCCCAATTATGCTGCCTGTAGATGTGATGTGTCATATAAAGTAGACCAGATAGTTTAAAAAGAATATCAATTTCAAGAATACCTGCACAAAGACCGTTGATGCAATGGTATCCTCTTGGTATGATTCTCCTCTTTCTAAAACCTTCTGCTGGACCTGAGTAATTTAGTTATATCAGAATTAAACCCTTCTAGTTAATGTTTTAGCAAATCCACAAACTTTGCAAACCTTGCTTTGGGAGGAATTTCAAGTGCTATAGAGTAAAAGACCTACCTTTTCTAGATATTCATCCACATCTTCATCTGCAATGGATGGATCAATCACAAAGTCAAATAGTTCTTTAACTGTCATGGCAGCAACTCCACGTTTTTTAAAGAAATCCTGCAACAAACATTAACAATTAAAAGCTAATCATATCTAACCCTAAGCACAATATAGTAGCCGCAACTGAAAGTAAATCATCTTACTGAGACATGAAGACAATCTTCTCGTAGGAAATCTAAGGCCAAAGGGTGATCAAGGTCCACTGACTGAGAAACATCAATGACGTACAAGTGACCCTGAAAGATGGTATCAACTGTTAGGTGGTAAAAAGCTGCATAGTTGTTCATGTTGTTGTTTTAACCAGAAATAGAAATGAATCAGCACAAATATACATTAAAATGTAGTTGACATGAACTTGCCTCAAAATAAAGTATATTATATTCGCTGAGATCCCCATGCACCAATTTACACTTCTGGTATAATGTGCGCATAGCAGTAATGATCTAGAACACATGAATACCAGGAAACAAGTTAGTTTTAGTCACTTCAAAATTTCTGAAAAAAGTTTGCATTGCAGATATGAGACAGTGAACTTAAAATATTCATGTTAAAAAAGCATCAGTTGCATCCAACACAAACAAATTAGCCAAATCATATATTAATATGGTTGAACAGACAATGAACATAAACATATTATTTTTTGTCTCACACCTTAACCTTTTAAAATTTAACTGACTAGAGCATTGGACCAAGGGGTCTAAACTGAGAATTGGCAGAGGGATATGAGAATTCATAGGGATACAATATGAGGTCACAATGGAGATTAATGGGTTTGATTGAGCTTATACTAACAGCCTTACATTTCAGTTCTGGATATCTCAATTTGAGATTGTTATGTGAAGCAGAGCAGACACCAAATGCTCTAGATTTAAATGGTGCAACTGGTCAACCATTGTTATCAGGCAAGTCGATTTGTATTATCATTTCCAGGGAAGAAGTCCCAGATCCTACTTCTTCAACCAAGAGTTTTGATGGGGAAGAAGTTATTCAAAATCTTCCACCACTGAAATTTTAAAATCAAGTTCCAATTAAGATTATGTGGATTAAATTTACACAATCCAGGATCAAGCAGAACTTAAATTGCTTCGTGCATACAAAGTTAAATAATCAAAATTAAAGGCTGATGTCAGCTTCTTAGCATAAACAAGGTTATCAAACCAAGCTGTCAGTTTATTAAGATTGTACTACTAGAGATGATGTTCACTGGGAAACTAAGATCACATCGCTTTTAGCACTTAAGCCAAAATATATAGCAGTCATTCGATACTTTTCAATGCCCATTAAAACCCCCATTGAACAATGCTAATAACCCGGTCTAACATTCTTTACAGAAAATGATTCCTGTCACCTTCACCCACCCGGAAGGTCTCTACCTGCCATTGTACTCAAAACCAATCAATTTCCACCCTCAAGCATTTTATAAGGTGGTAAGTTTTTACTGGGCTTCAAGTAAATAATAGAACATGAACATCTTCCAGAAAGCCCAAAGTACAACCATCTCCACATACAAAAACATACAATATGAACGTCTCACAATAATAAGAGTCAGACTATTGCTGAACATAAGGGAACAACAAGAAAGAAGTGATTGCTGCTTAAATTAGCACAAAAACTAGCCAGTATTCCATCTTTTATAATTAAAGCAAAACTCACTTAAAGAAATGCAATCTATTGGGTAAATAAGATGGGGGCACATGAAAATATATCCATAAAGCAGCTATTATGCATATATTGGCTAATATTATGCTGATAACAAGCAAAATGGTCAGAGAAGATTTGCTGAGAGAGTACATAGAGGAAGGTCTATTAATCTTAACATGGTGGTGATGCAAGAGCAATTGAATTTTAACTGCGGAGGGAGATAGCGAAGCCATGGTTCGTATTTGATTCAACACAAAAATGTTCCTAATAGAAGAGAGCCAAAAAGTTACTAGAGAAGCTAATTATATATGTGTGGTCCTGGAATTATGTTGCAAAGAAGACAAAGGCTCACCTTTTAAACAAATCCTCATGATGGGTTTTGATCAAAGACGCCTAGCATTTAAACTTCGATAATATGATAAGTCAGATTTGTTTTTGGTAGAACTTTGCTGGTGCTTTTAAAAAAACTTGCAGTAAACATTTACTATAAAGTATTAATCTAACCTATATGATGGTAAAAAACGTTGCTGGTACTTGGCCAACTCAACGAAAAAACAGGGTCATGTATACACTTTTTAGATATGCTTCTTTGCAAATAGCAACTAACAGACCACCTTTTCCTGATAAATTTGATGAAATGAAGCTACTTTTAACTACTGCAAATTTATAAGAAGAGACATGAGTTCACAGTGATGATAAAAAAGTAGATACGAGGAATCACTATATAACTTATGGTCTGTTATTCATATGATGATGAGATTGAGAAGTGCATTTTGCATAAAGAAAAGCAGGATGGTAAAAGAGAAGTTCTTAAAATATAATTACAGCAGTTCAGTACAGTGAAATTTAGCATGCACCTCTACATAACTTTCACGTAATTTATCCTCAGACAAAGCAGCATCCTTTAGGCGAGGTGCAGCCCACCCAGATTTCCCTGCATCGGATATCCACTTAAATCAGACATTTACAAAACACTATTACCTAAGAGAATTGTCACTAGATTTGTGATGCTGGAATTATCCTACAAGCATGATACGTAGACAACCATTACTCATGAACCTTACCTCGTATCCAAGGGTTTTTAAGAAGGAAAAAAAAGCTCTTATCCTACAGAAATAATAAAGTAGAATGCATTCCTACCAATGAATTCCATAACCAGAACATGTAATCTTAAAAGAAGTGGCATTGGGCACCTAATTCCAGCTGCCTTTACCCTGAAAGCAAGAAAGACAAAGTCATATATATTTAGTAACATAATTTAGATTCCATGTGATAATAAGGTAAACATATTTAATCCGTAATTTACAGAGAAGAAAGACAAATTTGTATATATTTAGTAACCTTTTTGCATTAAGATTAATTTCAGTAGGCTATTTGCTGACTTTGATTCCTAAGACAGCCGTTTTTTTTCTTATATACTGCATAAGTATTGGTTAGCAGATACAGTACAATGAGTACATCAACTAAATAATCAACTTATGATCATCTAAATGTCACTAATGAGATAGTGGTTAAGCTGAGCTTTCAGCATTTACTTAAAATAGGTAGTAATAGTTCATGTAACTTTGTGGAATGACTCCTATGAGCAATTAATAACTCGTCGGCTCCAAAAATATAGGATATAGGCTTTTGTTGTTGTCAAGTGAGAAAGGGCAATCTCTGGTTTCTGGTTTTTTCAGTAATGCGGTTGCAACATGTTCATTTCAAAGAAAAGAAACGAAAAGGAAGGAAAAAACCATTTTGAAGCATGAAAACAAAATGCTAAACCAAATGAGCAGGTCTAGTCCACTCTCTTTCCCATAGGGGTAATCCTCTCCAAATTCTCTCAGCACAATTAGTTTCATATGATGGGAACATTCAGAAAATAACTAGTGAATAAAAGTAATTATTTTATTTCCGACAGCATGAGATGAAAACAAGAGAAAATGAATTACGAAAATTTTTCTTTTTCATTTCTCTCCCTTTTTTCTTTTGACTTTCTTTCTTTCTTTCTTTTTTCCTTCTCCTTTACTTCTTATTTATTTATTTTTTCTTGAAGAGGGGGAATGAAAGAATTAATCACAAGTGCACAATACCTCAAAAGATTTCTCATTTCTTTCTCTGCCCAGGTCTTCACCATTTTTCTTGGATTGTGCTTACAGTAACCATGTCTAAAACGATAATCACCTTGCACATAACGATCTCGATCCCTGGAAGAGAAAATTAAATCAAAGGAGTAAAAGCACTAAAAGAAGATTATACTATAAATTGTATAAATATGTGGCCACTACTTTAGGTCCGACACCAGTGAAAAGCATCATAATCCTGGTCATCCAAATAGTTCCTTTAAGATAGAATTGGACAGCTAGCATATTAGGAACGAAAACAAATAGCTGTTTGAATATCTATTCCTAGCATTTTGGACCAAATTTATTTGGTAACTGGTCATCCCTCCTATCTATCCTTTGGATGTGTGTGAGCAAGTGGTCAGAGATTTCAATGTTGGGATGTGATGTATACATGAGCGGCTGTGGTGGTTGGCTAGAATTAGGAGTTACTAATAGCATAAAATGCATTTGTACCTACTTTGGTTGTAATTCCTAACCTATTTGTAATCTGCTAGATGCCTAATTCCGCACGAACAGAGAGTAAGGATCTTTAACGACTTCATCCTTCTTTCTCCCTCCCATTACTACACAAATTTACACCTTGTGATACCTCTAGGTAGGTACGATAATTAACCAAAATGCTAAAATTTCTTTTTCCCTTTATGACGAGTACTCCCCACACATATCATCAAAGTATGAAATATGGTAGATTACTTGAGAAAATCATTACAGTGACCGAAATGGCCTTTTTGCATCATCAAAAGCAGCGAACAATTGCATTTCGAGAAGGCTCGAACAAAACGAGTAACCAAACTTACTACCACTAACCAGCAATCACCATGACCTCTATTCTAAAAGAAGGCACAAGAAAAGAAAAATTATCAGAAAAGACTGCCCTGAAACCTAGAATGGCAGCAAGTAGCAATGTACCTTATTGTAAAATATGTTTATGCAGCCTAGGATAAATATCAGCCTCTTCTGTTCTCATTCTAGGTGATGGAAGAAGGTAAAATTTCTCAATATACATCACTGAGTAAAATGATTTTCAGTTTTGATATGTTGAAGATTTATGCAGGTATGAAGGGAAACTTGCTTGAAGAGATTATCACAAGTGGACCAGTGGATCAAAAACCTTTTGGGATTCTTCCATAGCCACTCTCAAACTAATTTGCTCTTCAAATTGGTCTCAACTTCTTGATTGACACAAACCATTGTGCACGAAGTACAGCAAATGGATATCACAAATTAAGTCCATGCAAATATGCATTCAAGTATTCCCCAGTTGCATGATAAGATATATGAACAAATGAAATGATCCCCCTCATTTAACCTTTCTTCTTCTACAGATTGCCCTTCTACTTGACCCACTGGAAAGCATCACAACACAACTGTTGGAAACTTAGTGGACACGTTATTCTTTATCAGTTCAACAACACGTTTCTAAAAGTGTGTCCGTCTCTGCATTTTGTGTTGATGAACTTCTCAAGAAAACAAATAAGCAACTTGGAAACCCGAAAAAAATTATAAGTAGAGCGATATAACTTTATAATTTGTAAATTTGCAATTGCACAAAAACTAATTGAAATTCTTTAATAAGCAGTCTAGAGAAGGATAATTGAAGAAAGTACATAAGAGAAACAAGAAGAGAAGGCCTTAAATTTGAATAGTTGTTTTTAGCCAAAATAGGTCTTAAACGAATTGAATAACAGATACAAAATTTCTGTTCAGAAGAATTGAAGAAGATTGTCATGGTGTTCATTATTCTCTTTTACTGTAGAAGAAACGAAAAGCAACAAATGATGTCAATGCCATCAACCAACAATCCAGTGCCAAGTGAAACTGAACATAAATGCTAATTGAGTGAAATCAGAAAGAAAGAAAATGAAACCAGTAGAAACGAAAGTCTACTGAATCAAACTGCAGAGTGCAGACTCACAGGGAGCTTTGGTGGTGAGGAAGAAACAAAGGGAAATATGGAAAATAGAGTAGCCCCAGATGTGATCATCAAATATAGAAGAATTGACAAACCTTCGGTGAGTTGTGGGTGCAGCAGTGGGAGAGGTAATGCAGAGGATAGCCCAACTAAATACATAGTTGGGTAGCCTATGCAACAACTGAAAATGGAGCAGTCTAAACTCTAAAGAATACATGTAACTTAAAAAACTTTAAAATTCAAAACTGAAAAAGACCTGTGCTGCACCCTGCAGATGTGATCTGTTAACCCGCAGCTTGAAAATAAGAAGGTTTCATCCGAAAAGGCCCTCTAACCAACTAATACATTATAGGCTAACAAACATGAACTATTCCCCCAAAAGGGCCTACCTCAGTAGGCTGGCACTCTGGTATGTACACCGATTTCAAGATGTCACACTGCCATATCCTAAGCTCAAATGTCACCATAACTATGGTACACTGGTAGCTTAAAGTAGGGATGCCCATGGAAGACGCCCTAGATGCAGAATTAAGTTTGAGCCATTTTATGAAGTTAATTTTTGCAAAGCCTGAAGGTTTTTATAGTAGATTTATTATTATTATTATTCTTAACCTTTTGAATAAAAAAAATTGCTGTTCCTAAGTGACCATATTCTCTTCTGATTTGCATTCTGCCTACTTTTTTCTCCCTATCCCTACTATATTATGTGCCGTGCTATAATGGCCTTAATTCATCTTCTCATGTTCTCAATAGATGTTTCCATTGCTTGAATTCTACAGTAATTCTACGGAATATAACAGAAGAAATAGCACATAAACAAAATCTATTGTTGAAATTTATGTGTAGATCCTGATCCATTGGGCATCATGACATTTTCCTTTCTTCCAAAAACAAAATGTGTCACTGCCGATTTTTTTTAGCTTACACTTTATTTGAAAATACTCAAGGAACCTGAGAAAAGGTCCCAAACCAAAAATTCATTGCTTGTTGTCCAGAAAAACAAGCTGCTTTCTTCAAATCTCTATAAGGTTACTATAAAGAAGAATGAACACATTGAACTTCCTTTGCAGAACACACAGCAGTTACTCTCCTTATTACTGGATGCAAGCATATAAAAATGTTCTGTGGAAATTATGACAATCTAATGTAAAGACAGCACCTTCTAGATCTACCCAAGGTAAATTTACAATCTGGAAATAAAAGTCAAATGCTGTTGAACTTAAGACTGAGAGATATATTCCCAACAGGACACTTACAAACAAATTTACAAAACAATCATATGTCTCATAACTTCAGGTTCATAAACCACGTTCTCATGCAAAAAAAAAAATACTCATAGGCATCCAAAAGTATATAAACTAGGAGTACATCATGATTATATCAAGAAAATGGGACTTTGTCTTTCAAAAAAAAGAAAGAAAATGAAAGCTTAAGAATAGAGTAAAGTTACTAACTTGAAAACGAGAACAGAAGTTTTGTACACTTTAATTGCCAGTTCCTGACCATCAGATCTAGTTGCATGATATACATTTGCCTGCCAAGGTATCAAATTCAGATCATCAATGCCAGTTCTGACCCAAAACATCTAAATTAATTTCCTAAAAGTATAAATCAAATCAAACAAACAAATGAAGAATTACAAAAAAAAAACAGAAGAGATGAGAAGAGTTGTGTCTCAAATGGTGAGTGCATACTTCTTTCCCTGTAGAAATACAACCATTAATATCATGAAAAACTCCACGATTAAGCATCTTGAACAAAACCATACGAGTTCTTGGATCAATAGCCTGCAAAACAATGAAAATATTATACTAACTATTTTGAGCAGAACTGAGATGCATAAATCACTACGATAATAAATATCCTTCAATAAAAAGAAATGCATCCTACAAAGCAATGCAAATATTTACTAAGGGTGTTTTGGAAAACTCCTAAAAATGGGCCTGGACTGAACCTGACCCAATTTTGGGTTTCCTTCTTATTGACAAAAACTGGGCCAGTTCCAACCCAAATTTTCTTAGGCCAAAAAGAAACCATAAAACCAGTTTAGTGTTGGACTGGGGAGTGGTGGTCCAACACGAAACTGGATTAGAGTAGAACTGGGCTAGGGTTGACCCTAGCCCAGTTTTTGCTGATTGCCAAATACACCCTAAGTATTTTGAGCTACATTAAGATGCATAAATCACAAATGTAATAAATAGCCTTTAATAACAAGAAATTCAGGCTTGAATTGGGATCATAACAATAGGTTGTTTTGTCTTTGTTGTTTCAAATTCTCAAGCTAATAAATAGTGGACATAGTGATGTAAAGATCAACTCCGAAGTTGTTGAATCTACAAAGGTAAGATCAAATAAAACAGATTAATTATGTGGTTAGATCTAAAAGGTCATTTTGAGATGAGATCAAATAGAATAATACAATGTGCGAAAAGGTCCAATATGGAAACCAAATCAAGCTACTTGGAATAGTTTAGTAAATAAACTCAAACTTTCACCCATCAAAAGAAAGAAACTTGCCTATACAAATTATTATAGTGGAATTAATAAATAAATGAAACAAGGATGGGAAGCGTTGAGACAAATAATACAATAAGTAATGTATGAAGCAAATAGTAAAAGAGACAAAAGATGGAGATTACAATATGGCAACATGAACAGATTTCTAGGATTGATATGAGGGCATCCTACATAGGTACTTATATCTATTATGTACATATTATATACAAGATTCATGGGCTTCACCTAGGTGCTGTTAGGGGGGAAAAAGCATATATTGGAGATAGAGCTTAAACGTAATGTCAGAATTGTGTTACAAATTCATCAATGAATTCCAAAGACATAAGGAAAGAGTTCAATAATCAACTGCCATGATGTTGAATTTAAGTAGAAAATAGGGGAAAACATATAACTAACTTTGTTCCTCTTCTATGGAAAACTATGATAATCGCCATTAGTACAACCAAATTTCCCAAAATGTAACCTTTAAAATTCATTTAAGCATATCAAAATACAAAAATAACAGAAATGATAGTTTGAAAATTTCGTCAGTTCCGACCTTTCTCTCTCTAAATCTTTAAAAGATGGTTTGGTCACATACAAAGGAGAACCCTTAGTGCACCGATTAGGAAAAGTGATAATATTAGAGTTAATGGGCTAGGAGATCTAGAGGTCGACCTAGAATGACTAGGTCAGAAGCAATTAAGAAGGATATGATTAAGATTAACGTAACGGAGGAAATGACCCGTAACAGAATGGAATAGAAAAATAGGATTCATGTACCCGACCCCAAACATTTGGGATAAAGGTTTGGTTGTTGTGGTTGTTGTTGTTGTTGTGGACATACAAAAACATTCAGTAATTAAATGGGTTGCCAGACCTCAGCTATCTCTTCAGACTTTAGTAATACTTACAACCTAATTCACTTAAGTTACAAAGTCAAAGCATTATGAAAACAAAGGGATTAATTAAATAGACAACCCATAAACAGCTGGCTGTTCTTTTGCACGTTTGCTATTTCTAAGAACTCTTGAAGCACTACCAAAGAAGGTAAATGTGAACTCATACTCTCATCACAGCGATCACTTAATACGCGAAGAAACCAAACGTTTCGACATGGATAGCTTTAGCAACAATATAAACATTTCGGGTCAGTGTGCGTTTCAAATCATCAAATATTAAGCCTATGCAATAAAAATCACCTGCTCGACAGTGGCACGGTCTGCTTTCTCTGTGTTCTTGATTCTCCCAATGGCCATACCTCGAACGCTGTCTCGGATTTCAGTAGCCACTGAATTTGACATGCCCACGTTAAGCCTACCCTCCCACTCCTAAATCCAACGCAAAATCAGAATTCAAATACAACACACTACTAAAATTACCCTTTTTACAGTAAAGTTAGGGTTACCTCCAAAGGGTTAGCCCTAAAACGAGATGAGAACTTCTGGCTTCGATTGGAGATGGGCTGGAGAGGCCGAGAGAGGAGTCCGCCATGGGCGTTGGGCCTCCCTCTCGCTGCCACGTGGGAGAACGAGACGGAAGACACGTCGCCTTCGATCCCTTCTCTAGAATCCAACCAATCCAGCGCGTCTCCTACCTCAGAATCTGAAGACCATTGCTCTTCCTCTTCCTCTTCGAATTCATCTTGTTCTTGTTCTTCATGCTTCTGTAATTGTGCTGAAGATGAGAGGAGCGGCTCTTCGAGCGCCATTGCTGTTTGATCTCTGGAGAATGAAGAAGAGAGATGGAGGACGAGAGCGCAGCGAGACGAAAGCCCTAAATCCCCGAGGAGCAAGGAAATGGGTCGGGTCGAATTTAGGCTGCAGTGTAATATCCAAACCCGACCTATTTAAGAATTTCCCTTCTTTAATGGTCGGGAAATATCAAATATGTACTTATGTAATTATATCAAGCTACAAATCTACATCGGAAAATAAAATGAAGGAGATAATAAGGACAAATTTTCAAAACAGTCCTATTTAGACTTTTATTTGTAAAATATGACTGGTTTCGAAGTTATTTTTAAAAACCGACCTGGTTTTAGGTCGGTTTCTGATTTTTTTTTACAAAACTTCACGGGAGTTGAACTCCCGTGAAGTTTTTTAGTTAAATTTCACGGGAGTTCAACTCCCGTGAAGATTAATTTCTTCAAAATCTTCACGGGAGTTGAACTCCCCTGAAGATTTATTCAGGACTTGTTTGGATTGAGGGGAATAAGGGTGAAGGAAAATTAGGGGAACCATTCACCTTGTTTGGGAACATTTAGGAGGTGAAGTTATTTACCCTAGTTTCCTTTGGTTCACCCCCTAATAGTATAAAATTTGTTACCCCTCAAATTGGGGTGTAACCAAGGCAAAGGGAACTCCCTTCCCTTCCCTTCCATTCTCTCACCTAGTTTCCCTTAACTTCCCTTAACCTCATTGAAATCCAAACACACCCTCAGAGAACGGACTTCACGGGAGTTGAACTCCCGTGAAGTCTGTTAGAGTATTAAAAACTCCACGGAAGTTCAACTCCTGTGGAGTTACAGGCCAAATTTCCCAGAGAATCGCTCTCTGGGAAATTAAAGCCTGTAACTCCACGGGAGTCGGACTCTCGTGGAGTTTCGGCCTCCCCTATATAAGCGCGGGTGTACTTGTGAAGAGCCCTGATCTCACTCCTCACGCCGCCGCCCCAAACCCTAGCCCTCTCTCCCTCGTCCCAACTGTCGCCGTCCCAGGCCATTTCCGACCGCTGTCCCCATTTCCGACCGCCTCCCCCCATTTTCGACCGCTGGAACCATCGTTGTCGTCGGAGTTCGACAGATTGAAGGTAAAATCCTCTAAAAAAATTTATTCTCTTAATTTCTTTTATTTTCTCACTATCTCATAGTGATTACATGTAAAAAATTAGATTTTAGAATTTTATTGTGAATTATTTATGAATTTTGTGAAGAAAACTGATTTTAGAATTTTATTGTGAATTATTTATGAATTTTGTGAAGAAAACTTAAATAATTTTGTCGATTTAGAGGGGAAATTATCAAGAAAACTTAAATAATTTTGTCGATTTAGAGGGGAAATTATCAATAATGTAAAAATTAGTGTTACTACACACGTATGACATCGGTATATGAATTTGGGTAAAATTATGGTTCTCTAAAATTGATATAGGATTTAATAATAAGTAACAATCAATTTTTAAAGTCTTTTCGTGTAATATTGTTTTTGAATTTTTTTACTCTTCAAAGGTAACGATGAACGATCGAATCGTAATTCTTTGTTCTTATGATGGGATCAAAAAATAACATGCCCGTTTATGAAGAAGGTGCCACGAGACCGTTGTTTATAACAAAATCGTATACTTTCGATGAGTTGGTTAATGAATTACACAAACTTACATTAACCAACTCGCGTGAGTATCACCTCAATGTTATTTGCAATTATACTATAGTGGAGAACAAGACATACGGCATTCAAATATCAAGTGACTACGATATGAGTCTCATTAGAGTTTTACATGACGAGAAGCGTTCGATCGAATTGTTCATTGAAAAACATCAAAGGAATTTGGGCAAATCGTTGACGAATTGTTCATTGAAAAACATCAAAGGAATTTGGGCAAATCGTTGAATTATGACGGAATGTACTCCCGCATGTTGGAGGACCCTGATGTTGATTCTGAATTTGGGCAAATCGTTGAATTATGACGGAATGTACTCCCGCATGTTGGAGGACCCTGATGTTGATTCTGTTGGCTTTTTATCTCCTCAATAAGATGAAGGTTGGACACAATCACAATATATGAGCGGTCCTTCATTTGTGGGCACTTTGAATGCTTTCGATACTAACACGAGAGTTCAAGAAGATAATGCAAGTGTTGAATCTGAGAATGATGATGAAGAGGAGGGCTTACAAATTAATAGCATGACCTTAATAGATCATGATGAAGGGGACAACCACCACATTGACGGATGTTATGCTAATAATGAGTACGTTGTCTTAGAGGATCCTCCGCCCGATGAACTTTAAGGAGAAGAATGGATTGATAACTCCGTGATGGAAAGTGTTCCTATTGGCACTAATAGCGGTCATGATACGCAGGGCGAGGACTTCTCATTCATGAAGGGAGATCTTTATGAGAGCAAGAAGAAATTGATCCATGCACTTCGCTCGTATGCCATTGCAAAAAATGTCAAGTTTAGGCAAACAAAAAATAACACAACAAGCTATAATGTGGTTTGTTTTTATCGTAAAGATGGTGAAGACGAAGATCTTGGTGGACACTATGACGGGAATGCGAATTGTCCTTAGAAGCTTAATTCACGTTCGGGTGTAAGAGTAGGTGGGCATTTTAAAATCACGGCGTACAACAGAGTCCACACATGTGGCATTCCTCGATTGGAGATGAATAACAAGCATGCGTCCTCTTCTTTTATATATCGATTGATTTTACCGTATCTAAGGAATGATCTTAATTTACGGCCGAAAGATATTAGTCTTTTAGTGCATAAAGCGATCAACTTGGATGTATCATACAATAAGTATTGGAATGCTAGGAGGAAGGCGATGATAGAAATATTTGGGGATTGGGACAAATCTTATGAGATCTTACCGCATTATCTTGAAGCACTCAAAAGAGAAAAGGGATTGGGACAAATCTTATGAGATCTTACCGCATTATCTTGAAGCACTCAAAAGAGAAAATCCTGGGATTGTATATGAAGTTTCATCAGGAGATCTTACCGCATTATCTTGAAGCACTCAAAAGAGAAAATCCTGGGATTGTATATGAAGTTTCATCAGGCCCTCTTAAAGACGAAGAACGACGATTCACATGTGTATTTTGGGCATTTGGGCCTTATATTGAGGGTTTCAATATTGTCGTCCTCTTCTTAGCATTGATGACACCCACTTATACGGCAAGTACAAAGACGTTTTGCTTGTTACCACCAGAGTTGACGCGGATGACAGTTTATTTCCTTTGGCGTTTGCAGTGGTTGATGTTGAAAACATAGAGAATTGGGCGTGTTTTTTTTGCATGTATACGATATCATATCCTTAGTGTGGGGGCGCGGCCGATTACATTCATATCTGATAGGATGAAAGGAATTCCAAGAGCACTCCAATGATATTTCCCATCATCACATGCACATCGTTATTACTTGTGACATATTAGGGACAACTTCAAGAAGAAATATGGAAACGGTCAGGTTCAAGATCTTCTTTGACAAGCCGGCTGTGCAACAGAAAAATTAGTTTATGACCAAATACGAGAGAGGATTAAGTTCATTTCTCGAGCTGCACATGATTGGAGAAAAATTAGTTTATGACCAAATACGAGAGAGGATTAAGTTCATTTCTCGAGCTGCACATGATTGGATCGAAACTAGTTTGGGACCACACAATGCGAGAGAGGATTAAGTTCATTTCTCGAGCTGCACATGATTGGATCGAAACTAGTTTGGGACCACACAATGTTGATAAGTGGATTTTATGTGAAGATGGCGGGAGACGGTTCTGTATGATGACTACGAACGCTTCTGAGAGTTTCAATGGCGTGCTCAGGGGAGCACGCGGTATGCCAATATAGTCACTAGTTGCTAAAACATTTTACAGACTTAATAACTTCTTTCTACGACGTCGCGTACTTGGTAAAAATATCCGCTCAGAGCTCACACCGAAGGTTGATGAAATGCTAGCGGCTCGGATTGTGCGCTCAGAGCTCACACCGAAGGTTGATGAAATGCTAGCGGCTCGGATTGTGCAAGCTCGATCCTTTCATATCGTAAGATACAATTTTAATGAATGAGAGGTCATTGAGGGAATATCGCATATAGAAAGTCGCTCTTACAAAGTTAACATGTTAGTGGATCACACATGTACGTGCACTTGCAATGTACCGCAACTACAATGGATTTCTTGTTCACATGTTGTCGTAACTTGTTCTGATCTATAGGGTGGTGCGAGGATTTCACATTATGAGTTTGTCGCGGCTTGGTATTCTACTTACAACTATCAGCAAACGTATAAAAAGTGCTTTCGTCCACCATATGATAGTCGACATTAGACACAAGACGGGCCACAAATATTATCTCATTTGTATAAAAGGTCGGTGGGGCGCTCTCGTATCGTATGAAATAGAAATTGTATGGATGATGGTCGTGAAGGAGTTAGGAGGAGAAATAAGTGTAGTAGATGCGATCAACCGGGCCATAACAAAAATACTCGTCCAGCTAGGATTAGGCGTTGATGTTATAATTTGTAGCGGTTTCGTTCTGTGTTTGTTTCCGTATGTCATTTGTGATTGTTATTCGTACTGAATTCGATCTGTGTTTGTTTCTGTAAGTTATTTATGATTGTAATTTGTAGCGTTTCGTACGATGTTATATAAATTTAATGTTTGGTTTCAAGTTATTGTTTTCTTCATGTTGCACATTCGTTTGTTGTTTATATATAACTAAGTCTGTATTTCAACAGAAAGATCTAACACATTGTACATTGTCTTCTAATATTATTCTCAGTTATATTTATTACACCCCGACGTTTTGACCCTCCAGGCGAGCCACTGTTCATACTATATTAGCTCAGGACAGGTAAAACATATTTTGTATATATTCCTTAGCATTAGTACTAATTTTTTTTCCCTCAATATACTTAATCAATTCTTTTTGACGTGCAGCCCGTACCAGACATCACCATGATAGAACATTCCCAGAGTTATTCGGCTTGGGTCATTAAGGATGAGAGAGTACTACAGCTTATTGCTCAAGTCGAGTTCCGAGAGTGTTCGA